CGAAGCCTCGGTGCCCAAGGGCTCCCGTCCCCTCACCCCTGCCCCTCCATCTGGACCACGAAGCCCAAGGAGGCATGGTCGACATTCAGGCCGTCCTCCAGCCACAGCGGTGGCGATGCTGGCGACAGTGAACCCCTTCTCCTCCGAAGGGCAGGAGCTCTGGGAAGGTGGCCAGGGAAGGGGGTGTGAGCCAAGACCTGCTGTGCACGTCTGGATTCTCGTTAACAGCCGTGAAGCCCACTTCCCCTGCCAAGAGGCCAGGGCAGAGGGGCGAGAGACAAGGCTCTGCGGAGGTGGGCTCCGGGCGTGGGCCCCCCCGGGAGGGTCCTGGACCAGACATCATGAGCTCAGGGACCCTCTCTCCCCGGAAACCCAGAACAACATTGCCCCGATCCGTCCTCGCTGAGCAGCGGGCCCACTGGCACGACGGCGTGGGCACACAGAGACGCACACACACGAGGCCACGTGTGTCCACACACACGTCTACAGACCGGAATATGTCCGTCCTGCAACGTATGCTCACACGCGCACATGTGCCCACATTTCCACGCGCCCTTTCCAGGAAGCCAGCTCTGTCTCCCCGGACGGTCGGAGACGATGCAGGAAGAATTGGTCTGGTTCCTGGGAGCTGGGAAGTGAAGGGACGCACGGCCGATGGACGGATGGACAGAAGAGACGCAAGTGACTCTTTTTCTGAACACAAGGCAATCCCTCAGCCGTCTTTGGACACCCTTTCTGACACTGACCCCGGACGTCCCCCAAACCTGCTGACAGGCCTTCTGGTGGGCCGCAGCCCGTCCCTGCCCATTAAGGTTTTAGGGGTGACATTGTATCTCACGGCTCCAGACTCCACGTCTAAGTCTCCATCAGCACCACCCCTGGGACGCCCGTCTCCGGCCACCGAGTCCTCCAAACCCAGCATGCCTGCCCACGGCCCTCTCCCAGGAGGTGAGTCCCTGCCCCTCCTCGTCCTCCCACACCCCCCATGCTCCCTCCGGAGTAATCAGGGAGTTTCTCCAAGGTTCCTTGTGATCCAAGGACTTCTCCCGCCTCCGTGGGGGGGCTGTGGCCCACGCCTTGCCACCTCGGCCGGGTCAGGGTCATGGTCTAGCACTGCCCACGCCTGTGTCCACAGAAGCCAGACTGATCTTTACTAAACGTGGGCTGTTAACAGAAAAACAACAGAGAAAATCACTAAAACCAAAGGGGGCAGCAAACAGACCCCGACTGGAAAGAAAGGACAGACACACGTCACTAAAACCAGGAGGGAGAGGTACACGCCTGCCGACCTCACGGACGCCTCGGGTCTGGAAGGGGTTACCACGGACAAGTCAGACACCGACACAAAGGTACAAACACTTAGAAAGCCGCCAACTATCGAGAATGACAAAGAAATAAAAAGCCTTAATTGATCTATCACAAGCAGACGCCAAGTCAGTCTCACGAGACTTCCCACCGGCAACAGCCCAGACCCGACGGCTTCACTGCTGACTCCTGACAACGTCTAAAGATGAATTAATGCAAATCGTTCCCAAACTCTTCCCAAAGATGGACTTGCCGGGGCTTTCCACAGGGTCGACCCCTGATGCCAGCACCACGGATCACGAGGGAGCTGCAGGCCACTGTCCCTCGTGGACACAGACGAGGTCCCAGCCACATGGCCACGAGCCCATGTCAGCGGCACCAGCCGGTGATGGTACCACGACCGAGACACGGTCCACGCCAGGAAGACAAGATGGGCTACCACGCAACAGTGGTGAGTGCCCCATATCGGTAAAGGAGAAGCCGCCCGGTCACCTGGACAGACCCCCCCCCCCGCCGCCCCATGCAAATGCCTCTCACTCCCAGTCAAAGCTGGTCCCACCCAACGCATGCAGGCCCCATGCGACCCCGTCCTCCTGTCCTCCTGTCTGTCCCGCCACACTGAGCAGAGGGTCCTCGTGGTTCCCCAGACCCAGCAGGTGCGCGGCTGCCTCAGGACCCTAGTGACCCCCCAGCCCCCTTCACATCCTGCAGGAGGCCTCAGGTCCTCAGCCAGCACCACCTCTAGGGGAGCCCGCCCCCAACGCTCCCGTCTCACCAGTCTTCCTTATCTAAGCATGCGCCCTCGGAAATACGGCAACATGCTCTCGTGTGACTCACCTGCCCGCTGCCTCCCTCAGGGAGGACGTAACCCCCAGCAGCCGCACTGCTTTCCTGTCACTCGCTGCCCTGACTGCGGCACTGAAACCAGCACGCCCCTCACACGTGTTTGTTGAGTGAATGAATGATGTGAATTCCTGGTGCTGTGTCCCGGGCCCAGCGCTGAGGAGGATGGGAACCGCCCTGGGTCCTCCAGGGCTGGGAGAGGGGTCAGAGCCTGAGCAAGAGATGCTGAGAGTCCCGGGAGTGGAGCAAGGGTGGGGCCCAGTGGTCAGCAGAAGCTCCGTGGACGGATGGGGCAGGGAGGGAGCCACGAGGGGCCTGCAGGGTGTACTGGGCCATGAAGGCCATCCAGGAGTCCACTGAGGGCTTTGGGAGCCGGCAGGAGGAGCTCGACCCAGTTCCAGAGGCCCCAGGGAGCCCAGGAAGGTCCTCGGTGTCCCTGGCCACTTGGGGAAAAGAGACCGTGGTAGGTGAGCAGTGAGGCCAGCAGCCCAGGAAGGCAGCTCCTGGCACAGGGCCCAGAGAAAGACAGAAGGCATGCGCCATGCCAGACAGAAGACCGCAGGCCAGGACGTGTGAGGGTTCTGTGACCGGCGCCGGGCGGGAGGGCAGGACCCGGATCGCGAGCTAGAACATCCATCAGACGTCGGAGGCACAGACGGAAGCACGGAGAGGGCCTCTGCTCAGGAGGTCCAGAAGGTTCCGCTCTCCTCCTGGAAGGCTGGAGCCTGGCCTAGGGGGGCTCTATGCCGTCGGTACCATGACCGGGCCTGAGCACGAGCCCCAGGAAGGAGCAGCATCCCAGCACCCGAGGAGGAGGGACTCGTCCCGGGCCTGCCCGCCATCCTGCCCTGCAGCCCCTCACCCCCGTGCCAGGACTTGAGAATCTTTCCTGCTGGCCCTGTCAGCCAGGGCGCAGTGTCATCTGCAGACGAGCCGTCCAGCTCTGGAGAGGTGCCAGGCTGCAGAGGGGAAGACAGCTGTGTCCCCTGAACACAGCCAAGGAGCAGTCTCCAGAGCCAGCCAGGACCATGGCAGAAGCGGGCCTGGCAGGGGTCCGGGCCCCGGCTGCTGCCGGAACAGGCCCGTAGTGGGCCTCCATCTGCCTTCAAGGTCAGGCCCATGCGGCCCCCGCCAGCTGGGATGCTGGTCCTCAGGCTCCCGCTCTCTCAGCCAGGATGAGTGCCCATCCAGGCTCTGCTTCTCCCCTCAGGGACCAGAAGATCAGTACAGCGTCTGCGGGCTGGGTCTCCATCTCCTCTGTCCCACCGTCTGTGCCGCTGTCTCTGGCCCTCGGTCTTCCAATCTGTGAGCAGCGGGGAGAAGCCCTTGCCCACAAGGCGCTATGAGGGCCACGTGGGGGCACGCGCAGAACATGAGCCGGTGGGACCTGTCTGTTCGCTAGGGACTCAGCCAAAGCCCACCCACGGCTGGACACGGGTGAGCAGCGCCCACACCGAGAGACGCGCCAGCCCCCGTGTCAGGCTCGGGGAAGAGCGCGCCGTCCCCCTCCCCACCCCGGGCGCTGCAGGGCGTTCATCTGAGGAGTGAGGATGCGGGTGAGGGGCTCTGGGTGGCCCAACTGCAGTCAGAGGACGCCAGCGACACGCCCACCCTCCCACGCCAGACAGCACCGCGAGGGCACCCCAGCACGTCGCCCAGGAGCATCAGGATGACAGGACCGGGCACGTTCCGAGTGCAGACAGGGGTCCGACAGATGCCACAGAGGGGAGACGGGCCTGAGGGTCCCGAGAGGGGAACCCTGCAGGGTCCAGGCAGGAGTGGCCAGAAGGGAGGCCACCTTGGAAACAAGCAGGGGGAAGCCGTGCCAAGACAGAGGCAACAGTGTCACCTGCACCGAGAACCAGACGATGCAAATAGCAGGGCTCCAAGACTCACAAGGGACCCCTGCGCACAGAGCCAGCAGCATCTGGACCCCAGCAGAGCAACCCCAGACTCTGGGAATCCTGCCCCGACTAAGCCGGCCACAGCTCCCTCTTGCCCCAGTGCGGGAGTCTGGGCCTGGACACAGAGTTTGGGGAAGCGGAGCCAAAGCTGTGGTTGAAACGGGACCTGGCTTTTCCAGGGCACGAGGGTAACAGGAAAAGCCATGGGATCTGGCCGTGGGATCTGGCCATGGGCTGTGATTTGCCTTCCGAGTCCAGCCTGCTCAGGGGCATCTGTGTCTGTGGTGGGGACCCCAGGGCCTTGGGACGGAGGGGAGGGGAAGGGGAGCCTGTCTGGGGGGGCAGAATCATGGGTCCCTTCCCACTGGGTGGGACCATCAGGGCTGGGGGACGGGGAGCCATGTGTGGGGGATGCACACAGTCCCCCAACACACTGCAGTGCCTGGTGGACCCACACGTGTGCTGAGCCCAAGCATGAGCACAGGACAGTCCAGAAAGGCTCTTGGAGAAGAAGCCCTTGTGCCGGGCCTTGCAGATGAGCGGTGTTCAGGACGCCTAGGAGAGGTGGTGCCCTGGCGGAGTCCGGGAGGCGTGAGCGGTGTGAGGCGGTGACGGGAACATGGGTTAGAGTCAGACCATCCCACAGGGGCGCTGGCCTCGGCCACGGCCCATGCGGGCCTCACGCCCCCCCTCACACCCTCTGTGTCCTCGAGCTCCCAGCGTATCCGAGCCGTCAGTCCCAGTCAGAGCAGCTCAGGCTTGAAGCCCAGCTCTGCTCCTTCCTAGCTGTGCTGCTCTTGGTAAACCTCCGTTGACCCGTCTGTGAAATGGGGGTACCAGATGCTCTCTGGGCGGCTCCAGAGGTGGAGGCCGGGCACGGAAGGAGCCCCCGTGAACAGGGGCGACCCACTCCCCACGCCCCGCACCGCGCCAGGGGCCCTCACTTACGTAGGAGGCCAGGAGAGTGACCCGGGCCAGGATGAGAGCCAGGAAGAGGCAGGGGGCAGCGGCAAGCAGGCTGCAGGCACAGATGAGGGGCTCGGCCCGTGGGTTGACTTTCTTGTACCTCCTCGCAGCCTCTGCTCCCAGGACAACCCCAATGATGCCGGTCACCACAGTGAGTATCCCAAAAATCAGGCTGAGGACAAAGAATAGAGCAGGGTCCGTGAGCCAGGCGGGGTTGGCCCTGTCCTGGGGCTCAGCCCCCAGGGCAGGATTGGGTACCTATGGGGAATGTGGCTGTGGACCCCTCCCTCTCCCTCCAAACCAAGGCTCCGGGGTCCTCAGGGTCCTGATCAGGAGCCCATATACTCCCCCTCCCCCATCCCCATTCCTGCCTCATCCTGGGGATGTCACCAGCCATGGGGGCGACCGGCCCACCACCCCCACCTCCAGGGAGGTTCTCCGACCGTCCACCATCCCGAAGCTCCCCCCTCAGAAATCTCAGCTGCCCCACTCTGGCCCCAACCAGCTCGCCTTCTCACTCCACACACAGATGGGAATGGAGGCACAGGAATGTTTATTTGTTGAGCTCCTAGGATACAACCGGCCCTCATCAAGCTTTGCACACACCCTCCCGAACCCCACTGTTCCATGCGGCCTTGGCAGAGCTCTCGAGCTGCCCCCTCCTGCTGCACTCCCTTTCCCACCCACTCCCCCTCCAGCTGCACTTGGCTCCCCAGCACCTGCCCGGGGAGAGCTGGCCCTCCAGAACAGACCCCCATGGGTCCCCAGAGCTTGTGTTCCAAAATATAGATCTCCCAATCCCCACCGGAAACTGTCCACCGGCTCTCATACACCCGCCAGACTCATGCCAGCCCACGTGACGCACGTGGCCCTTCCTTCATGGTCTCATCCTGGTTGACCTCAACCCTGTGCCCCCAGCTCCAACCTCTTCTGCCCCCAGACGAGTTTCTGTCCCCACTTCAGACTTTTACTCCTCCATCGGGTTAAAGCCTCTGCCTTCGACTCAGGTCATGGTCCCAGGGTCCTGGGATCGAGCCCCGCATCGGGCTCTCTACTCAGCGGGGAGCCTGCTTCCCCCTCTCTCTCTGCCTGCCTCTCTGCCTACTTGTGATCTCTGTCAAATAAATAAATAAATATTAAAAAAAAAAAAAGTCCTGCAAGTTCTATGCTGACCCTCTGCACAACAGGCCTGGTGAAGCAGCAGTCCAGCTCCTACTTCCATGCCCCAGGGGCGGGGAGCTCACTACCCCCACACAGCCCCTTCCCTGTGCACCAGCTCTGAGTGGTCCGAGTCCTCCCAGGGCCGGAGCAGAATCCTGTGTCCTGGAGATTCCTGCCCTTCTGCGTCCTCACCCTGGGGTGACCCCAACCACGGAGGGGAGAATAACAGCTGAGGTGGGTGTGGAACCCCAGCACTGGGACCTTCTACCTGCTCTGTGATGGGCTGAATAGTGCTCCGCACAATGGCTAGGTCCTAACCTCCAGAACCCGTGCAACACAGACTTCGGCGCAAAACAGACTTTGTCGATGGGATTCCATTAAGCATTCTGGGATGGGGATTATCCTCCATGTTTGAGGGTCCCTACAGGCCACCGCCAGCATCTCTGTAAGAGGGACGCTCAAGGGGACTTGAGACACAGAGGACAAGGCAATAGGACCACGGTCGCAGAGACTGGGGATGCGGCCACCCTGCCAGGGCACACCAGCAGCCCCCAAAGGAGAAGAGGCAGGAGGACCGTCCCCTGAAGCCTTGGAGGGGGTGCGGCCTCTCGGAGCTCCACTCTGGCCCCGTGAAACCCCTCTGGAGGCCCAGCCTTGGGACCCTGGAGAACAATTCTGTTGCTCTAAGCACCACACCTGGGCCACTTGCCACCGGGGCCTAGGACATCGCTGGCCACACAGGGTCCATGGAGGAGCCCCGTCGGAGGACGAGGTCAACGCTGAGAAAGGGGATCTGACTTGCCCCAGGATGCAGAGCCAGAGAGCATCGGACAAGAACATGAGTTCTGTCTGTCCCCCCGCAATGTGTCCGGGCCGCTGAAGGACCCCCGACGTGTCCAGGCTGCTGTGGGGCTTTGAGGCCCCCATCTGTGTCCCCGGGAGAGAATGAGCTAGCGGTAGAGCCGAGACCAGCAGCACAATCTTGCAGGCTGCCTTCCTGTGCTCTGTCCCTGAGGCTCCGTGTGAGCACCTGCCCTGTCCCAGGCCACGATGTTCAAGTCCCCAGCAGTCACGGGAGGCTCTGGCGGCTCCAGGATGCGGCACTGGGAGCACCGGCCTCAGAGTCAGATGGGTCTGAGGCTGGGTCTGCGGCCTGGGCGGCTCATTAACCTTTCTGATCTTCCATCTCCTTGCTCCATAACACGGAACAAAGGGTTTTGTCATACACGCTCAGAGGGTCTTCCAGGTAAATGCTCCCCATTCCGGCCTGAACTAACGAGAAGGCTTAAGAAGCGACAATGGGAAAAGGGAAGGGAGCTCCGGGCGGGCCAGCCAGGCCAAGGCACAGACGTGCAGGAGGCCTGGGGCATTCTAGAAATCACGTGAGCTCCTTCCAGGCTCCAGTGGGGGACATGGAGACAGCAGGGAGGCCGGGGAGCAGGAGGGGGAAACGGGTGTCAGGGGGCTACACACCATGTCCCTGAGCCTCGAGGAGCTCAGCCTCTGGGGACTGAGAAGCCAAGCGGAGATGAGGAGGAGGAGGAGGAGAAAGGGAGTGACGGGGGCCCGGGGCTGAGCTGGAGAGATGTTGGCCTGGGCACAGCATGGGACGAGGTGGGGACAGGAGGACACTGCCCTCTGGATGGCTTTTTCCCCCACCCCGACATTCTGGCAGCTTTCTCGGGACACTTGGGGCCCCAGACGAGGCAGAGAACACGTGAGTACACGTGCAAACTGCCCAGCCCCGGAAGGGATACGGCATCCCCAGACCTTGATTTGCCATCTATGAACCGGGAAGGCCTCACACCATGGGTCCCATCGTCCCACAGGCCCCACAGAAGCCTCATTCCCCTACCAAGTGCCTCCCGGACCCCCACAGCAGCCCAAGAGCGGGAGAACTGGGGCCCAGAGGGGATGAGGCTCCTTGCCTGTGGCCCCCCAGAGCCCTAGGACCTCAGCCGGAGCAGATCTGGGCCTGCCGTGCCGCCGAGGTCCCGAGTCCTAGTTTCTGCACGGAGACGCTGAGCTCGGGGGCGTCTGACCGGGGCGGCGCCCGGGACTCCCGGAGGACCCTCACCTGTCCTGGCTGTTGCACGGATCCTGGAGGCAGGGAGGCTGCAGTCCATGCACCACACGGGCCTCGAACAGAAACTTGGGGGCCCAGAAGCCCAGGGCTCCAGTCACAAAGGCTATGGCCGTCACCCCAAGGGTCGACCACACAAAACTCCAGCTGCAAGAGAAAGTGTCCTGGCTGAGACCCTGGGAGAGGACCAGGGCTGCGGGCTGGCTGCTCCTGTCACGCGCCGCCCCATCCCGGGGACACTCTGGCCCCCCGAGTGCTCCAGATCCTCATGGTGTCGCCCACGAGCCCTGCACTCCCCCCTCCACGCGTTCCTTCTCGCCGGCCCTTCCTCCCTGATCTCTGTGGGACCAGCTCTCCCCCTCCCAGAAGGCCCCAAGCCAAGAGCACATTCTCCAGGAAGCTGTCCCCGCTGCCCCCACCTTCCTCCAAGTGCCCTCCACCGGCCGCATGGCTCTGTATCAAAGAGAGCCAGTCCCGTCCGCGCCCCACATTCCAGTAAATCAGGAGGCTTGGGAGTGCGGTTGACTCCTGTCTGCCTCCCCACCCATGCCCGGAACACGGATGGACGCACTCCCACGAGGCCTGCAGAGGTGAGTGATGAACTCCCAGCATCCCCCCGGCAGCCCTGGGAGAATTGCGTCCATTGAATAAAGGAAGGGAGTAAGGTTCCAAGTCTCAGGTCACTCGGGGATAAGGCAGCGACCGAGCCAGCATCCAGGCTCGCACCGCCTCCTTCCCAGCCCCTACTGTCCCATGGCAGGGCGAGAAGGGGGCCTCCAAGTGAGGGAGGGGTGTCTCCATTGGTGAGCTCAGAGGAGGGAGAAGGCTGTGATCCTTGGGGCTCCCTGAGGCCGGGCGGGGCCGGGCGGGGCTGCTGGGCAGACGGGGGTTTTCAGTGACATGCAGGGAGGAGCGGGGACACTCACTTTCTCCCCAGGTAACTGACATCCTCACACCAGCTGCTCCTCGGGTCCCCCACGGCCACCTCTTCCTGCTTCTCAGCAGCTCCCCTGGGCGGGTCTGGAACCAGCACGATAAGCAGGATCAAGGCCACCGCTTCCAGGCAAGGCATGACCTGGGCATGGGAGGGCCCGGAAGCTCAGGACCACACAATCACACCCGGGACGCAGGAGCTCCTGCCGGTGACGAGCCACGTGGCCCAGGGTCTGGGGGGCTCTGTGCCCTGGGGGCGGGGCAGGGGGCTCACTTCTTGGCTGCTGGGTATACAGAAAGCTTGACATTTCCTCACCCCTAGGAGCACAACCTCTCTGCGGAGTAGTGTCCCCTTAGGACTCCCTTTAATGTGTCCAGTAGACACGACTCCCTTAGGGCTCATGAGCCCGACCAGGAGGACTCAGCAACTGAGCCCGCCAGGTCTGTTCTGCCCCAGGCTGTTCCCACCCTTGGCTGTCCCTCCCCAAGACCCCACGATGCAGCACATACACCCCCCACCCACGTTACAAGCCGCTTTCCTGAGCTCACACCGATAGCAAACCCAGAAGCCAGCATCTGAACCCAGGGCTGTGACCTCCACAGCCATGTTCCATCGAATGTCTGAAGCTGCCAAGGTCTGATCCCTCCCACGGCGCCAGCGACCATGCCACGTGGCTAAGGCCACGGGAGGCTGGAAAGTCCCTGCCGGCCCAGGGGGATTGGAGGGAAGAAGAGGAGGCTGGACTCACTCGGAAGGCCCAACGCCAGCTCCCAGTCAGCTGCAACACGGCTGACCCCAGCACGTAGCCCAGACCACTGCGATAGAGGGGCAAGGAGGACAGGCAGTGAGGGTGGGGGGCAGGTACAAGCCGGCAAGGCCAGCCTGAGCTGGGGCCCCCACCCAAGGAGCTGCTGCTGCTCACAGCCCTGTCACGGGAAACGTGAGCCACGTGAGGCCCAGGTGTCCGCTGCCCTTGGTCAAGTCACTGGTGACCTCTGGCTCCAGGCCCATCCCCTGCACCACTGCCCAGTGTGGCCCTATCTGAAGACCCACGGCTCAGCCCTGCCTGAGTCAGGCGATTCCAGGAAACCCGGATTAGAGCTCAGAGGTCAGATTGCAAATCCCACTCTGACCTACACAAACCCGCCCCCACCCTCACCGCCCCAGGGGTGCCTGGCCCAGGCCTACACACGCACCAAGCGGGCCTTCCCCAGTGTCCTAGGGTAGAGGGAACACCTCTATTATATCTAACCCTTAAGACAGCCCACCGGCCTGTGTCCTCGCCACCTTTACAGATGAGGAAACTGAGGCCCAAAGAAGTAAAGGGACATGGCAAGGAAGGGGGAGGGCTGGGATGCAAATTCCATCTCCAGTCCAGCTTCTGTCCTGGCTCCTGTGGGCCTCAGTTTACCACCTAGGGAAGTGGGTCCTGGGTGGTACCAACCTTCCAACAGGGATAAAGATGTAGAAGACGGCCAGCACCCGGGTCCGCTGGTCCCTCACAAAGAGGTCGCCCAGGACAGTGGGCGCGATGGTGGAGAAGCTGGCCGAGCCTATGCCCACGACCCCCCGGGATAGGAAGAAGAGCCAGGAATACTGGGCAAGGAAAAACAAGACCCCAGTGAGTCCCAGGATCACCCATGGGGGGAGGGACCAGAGTGTGGACACATGCCCCCAGGGGAGGAGGGGCCGGGGGCTAAAGACCCATGGCTAGCTTCCCCGCCAGGACCCCCAGCATCACACGGGCGCCCCCTGCTGATGCCTGCAGCCACCAACAGCCCCGTGCCCAGGGAGCCCTTTTTCTGAGCGTCAACCTTTGCCCTGCAGGCCAGTTCCCGTGGACAGTAGCGGTCACCCGCACACGCCCCCCACAGGCAGCAGCGGGTCGTGCAGGAGAGGAAGGCTCCCGTGGACAGCATCTAAGGGGGTCCTCCCTAGGCCCTGGAGGGCTCCCCTGCCGCCAGCCTGGAGCCCGGAATGGACGGAGGCCAGCGCATCCGCCTTTCCAAGGGAGAAACCAGGCGTGGGCAGGTCCCCAGGGGCCTGGCAGGGGTGTGGGCACCTACCTGGGGGGAGATGAAGGAGCTGGAGAGACCTGCCCCCGACCAGAGCAGGATCCCAATACTCAGCGCGGCTTTGCGGCTGTGGCGGTCGCCCAGGTAGCCGAACACCGGTGCGGACAGCAGCAGGCAGCAGACGAAGACTGGAGGGGACGAGCAGGGCCGCATGCATCCCCCGCTGCGGCGAGCGGGCGCGCGGGCCTCCTGGCCCCCACGAGGGACCGGGCTCGGATGCCACAGTGGGCACCGCAGCAGTGGGCGGGGGCCAGGAGGAGGAAAATGTACCCCAACCCCCCGATCTCCGCCTAACCCATACCCCAACGCCCAGAGTCAGGGGACTGGGAAGGGGAGTGGAGGGCCGGGCGGGCTCAGTGCACCGCTCTGAGCAGCCCCCCAAGTGCCCGCAGGGCTGTGGCCCGGAGTGAGGTCGGACGCGGCCACGGGGCAGCTCGGGGGCCCCCAGGGCTCCCTGCCCGGACCCTGTCTCTGCAGAACCCCCCTCCTCTCGCCGGCCTGCAGGTCCGATTTTGCTGCCGCACCCCTGCTGGGGCGGTGGGGGGGATGGGAGGCGAGGGCGGTCGGCCCGTGGCTCGGCCACCAGCAGGGTTTCGCGGGGTCGGCGGCCAGTCCCGGACCCCGTCCGTGGTGCTGCTCACTCAGTGAAGCGGACCCTCCGACCCGCGGCGAGCGGAAGAAGCTGCCGCACGTCTTCGGGACTCGCCGCGCGCACTGGGACCCTCGTGGCTCTGGTCCCCTCTCGGCAGGTGCTGCGGACGGCTTGGACCCGCCTCCGCCGAGGCCCCCCCCCCACGCCCGGCCTCCATTCGCTGAGCGCAGATGATTGACGCGGCCCGAGCCGAGTGAGCGCCAGCTCCGCCCCGCGCGGTCCCAGCCCCTCCCACCTCCCCGGGCTGCTCTAGCATCCCGCTGAGCCGCACGCGTTTGCAGAAATTAGGCCGGTTTTGACCCACAAAACCTGGCAATTTAATACGGTTCGGCCGAATACCCCCACAGAAAATGGTCCTCGGTGTCCGTGGCGTTTAGAATTTAACAGCTTCTGCCAACACGGCCGTATCCGTGTCCGCGGGCACAGAAGCGCGTGCCATGCCCCCGGCTGGCACCTGACGCATCGGTCGCGCTGTTTTTGCTCCTTGAACGGTTGAAAAGCGGACAGTGTCTCTCTGGTATTTCAGTCTGCATCGTCCGTCTGTCCAGTGAAGCTGAGCAGGTTCCCGAGCTCACATCCTCTGCCGTTTGAAATTACCATGCAGATCGTGGGGCTAGACGACCTGGGCTCTCACCCTGAACCAAAGACAACCCTAACCCTAACCCTAACCTGTGTGCCTGTGAGCAAGCTCCTTAACTCTTCTGTCCCCCTCCAGTCAGTGATAGGAAATGGTAACTGTGCTTCCCACAGAAGGTTACAGAGAAAATGAAATGAAACAAAGCGTAGGACAGGCAGCGCCTAGCTTTAGGTGACCGCCTCATAACTGCCGCCCATTGTCGTCTCTAACTGCATTTGTGGTGTCAACTGCCTTCCTACGGAAGAGTGTAGCTTCCGTAGACTCAAACCTATCACTCTTCCTCTGGCCAGGGTTGTTTGTCTTCTTAAGGTGTATCTTCTCTCCCCGAAGGTTGTAAAAATATTTCCCTGAATCCTCTAATAGTTTTATGAGGTTTGGGGCAGGGATCCCTTATAGATATAAACAGCTTCACCCCGCAGATGCCCTGAGATGGAGAAAGCTGCCCTGGGGGGAAGGCACCCTCACACAGGTGCACGCCCCGGCTCCTGGCAGCTCCAGATTCGCTGAGTTGGGAGACAAAATGGAAGGAGTGAAGGAGCAGGGGGTGAACAGGAGGGCTCTACAGGCAGCTTCCAGGACTTGAATCCCGGCTGCGGGAACTTCAGCAAGCCCACAGCCTCTCTGTGGCTCAGGTTTGTCATGGGGAGAACGGGCACAACCATAACAAGAATCCCCAACCCTGTGGGGTTGTTGTGAAGGGTGAATGGGTTGGTCTCACAGGGCACTTGAGACGGTGTCTGGCACGCGGTGAAGGCCACATCAGTGCTGGTTTTAGATATTACCCATCAGTGGACCAACCCCAGGAGCCTCCTTAACATTGGGAGGGGCCGGTCGGACTGCCACTGACCGCACCCTCTGCCCCATCTTACAGCTGAGCCATGCCCTCTCAGTTAGGGGCTTCCTGCGTTCTGCACCCTGTGGACAAACAGCGGCGGGGGGCTTGGGTCTTACATGAGGTCTTACACCATGACCGGGGAAGGTGAAGACTCCCCCAAGGTCACGGGAGAGACAGAGCCTGGTCGTCAGGCCTCCAGCCCCCTGCTCTCTCCACACACCTCTCGGGGCTGCAGTGCTGTGGTGACCCTCCCTTCACCCACTGCACACCCCGGGCATGTGCACAACCAACCCCACACTTGCATACACGTGCACATGCTTCTCTCTCCACGGCATCTCACTTATGGGAGCCTCGTGGTGACAACCCTGCTCACCAAGCAGGGGGAGGACCAGGCAAGATGGATCGTGACTCAACGGCCATCATCTGTGTAATCTAGAAGGTTGTGGGGACTGAGCCCAGAGGGTCTCTCTTTGGCTCCTCGAAGGTCGGCACCCGCTGCTGGCCTCTGCCTCGAGACAAGAGCGGTTGGAAAACACACGTGGTCTAAAGCCAAGGTCTGCTGGCTCTTTGCCCAGGGCCTTAAGAGAGAAGCTTCTCGAACTATGTACCCTTACACGTGTGTTCAGCCGACATTTAAAACATCCTTGTCATAAGTTTAAATATTGCAAAGGATGTGATTTCCACCACTATTGTATTTTTTGACTATATTTTCATCCAAATCCTTGGGGCTGCGGGTCACATTGGGAAATGTGATGTGATCACTGACCCCACCCGATCCCTGACGGGAAAAGGCTGCTGTCTCCTCACATTGGCTCTAAAGGGCAAAACCAGTCCTTATTTGCCAGATCAAGCCAACAAATCAGGCCTACTGCCTGTCAGAAAGATGTTAAAATGCTGGCTTCATCTTTGCTAATTGAAATAAATGTGTTGACACCCATCCGTGAGACATCTCCCTTCTGAACTGTAAATCCTAGATAAATTGGCCGTCGCGCCAGCAGGACAGCCAGATAAGGCTTGGCGCTGGGCCACGGGCGTGTGGCCTGCCTCCCCAGTGAGTTTCTCCTGACACGCTCTCTGCCTGGCTTCCACGGCCCGCCCCACAGAAGCCGAGCACCCGTGGGGATCCCCTCTTTCTGGCACCCCGGAGGCTTTCTCACCCCAGGGCAGGGCACTAAAGAAACACTCAGAATAGGGAAGAGGGATGGTCTCTGCTTGAACGGAGGTGGGAAGGAAGAACCAGAGGCTTTTTCTCAGATGGGTCCATTTTAGGAAAGAAAAACCCAGGCTTGAGGGTCTGTAACTGGATTCTTTCAAAACTCTGCTCATGTGGACCCAAGAAAGTGTTTTTGGCCCCCCCGGGGGCCCCACACCCCAGCCTAAGAGACTTGTTCTGAGGTTTGGGGTTGCAGACTGTTATGGGAGGGGAGCACAGGCAGGAGCCATGCATGGGCTAGTTACGTGTTTGTGTGTGACCTTGGAATGGGAGGTGTCGCTGCTCCCCACTCCTGGACCCCATATGAGCCCATGTGGCAAATACAGATCTCTGTCTGTCCGTCCGTCTGTGTTCTGCAGGCCAGAAATTTCAGGTCCATGGAGGAAAGCCCACAGCAGGATTGCCCAGCCCCAGCCAGTCTCCGGCACTGCGCTGAGCCGGGCAGGGATGAGTGACCCGTCAGCACGGCCTGAGGCTCTCCAGCCCCATGCCCCTGCTCCTTCAGCAGCACCAGCGCTCAAACCCAAGACAGCTGCTCAGGTGCCAGGGCTCAGCCCACCTTCTCCGTCCTCCCACCCACGCTGGCCCTCACAGCCAACCCCATGTATCCTCAGTGCCCCTCCTCTGTGTCAGGGGTCCGCGGCGGGGCTCAGCCTGACCCCCACTCCAGCATGAGCCCCGGGCCCCAGCTCCAGAGCAAGGACTCAGTCCTTACCTGTCTGAAGCAGACCGGCATTGCTATCGCTGATCTGAAAAAAGTTCTGTACGTCCAGCAGCATCCCTGTGGACAGACAGACAGCGCTCAGGATGTGGGAAGGGGCCCCCTGGGCCTCTAAGGGCAGCTGGCCCGCCTGTGGGATGGGGCCCCAGCTGACCAGCACAGCACAGAACGCGGCCCACTGTTTTCGTCCTCTCCCTCCCACGCACATGCAAGCACACATGCGTGCAGATGGGGGGACCGGCGCCCAGAGAGACAGACACACATCAACACACATACAGGAACACGTACCCCAGAGGCCCAAACGCACGCTCATGTTCACGCACGAGCACCCACCCCGGGACAGAGAAGCAGACACACAGATCCACATCCGTCCACACAAATGGGCATGCACAGAGAAACACACTCTTGGGGCACAGACACACACACACGCGGGCCCGCACACGGAGTCTGCATGCCACAGGCCTGCTTGCATTTGCATGCACGAGGGGCTGCTGTTCACATCCTCTTCCAAGGGACCGACGGCTCCCTGTTGCTGCACAGTGCACAACTTACTTAGACTACAGTGCTAATGACTAGGCAGCCCCGCTTCGGTACAAACTCCAGTCATTCCTGGATGTACATACCTGCGTGAGCACGGACACACCAAGACACACATGCCCTGGGCTGCACGTGCACACACACAAGCATGCGTTTCCGGAGGCATGAGCAGAGAGACGGTGCCCCCAAGAGCCTCAGAGACAGGTCCCACTTGGGTCTGATCTTAGCCCCAACTCCCTGAGGGAGACAGGCCCTTGCTGCACATCAGCCGGTCCTCGAAAGACCTTCCAAGGTCCCCCCAGGCCACAGGCCAATGCAGCGCCCCTCAGCCTTTGGCAATACTTCAGCAGGGCTTCGTCAGAGTGGAGGCACCTGCTTAGCTGAGCTGGGAGGCTCAGGCCCCAGCATCAGGAAGCCCTTAGCAATCCTTGCGGTCATTCGGTTATGAGCCGGCACCCGAGCTGGACCCTGCAGGTGTCTGCAGGTCCCCTCAGAGGCAGGGGCCGTCAGGGTCCCCACGGGGCTCTAGCCACGCCCACGGCTGTGCTGCGGGCATCCCAGCCAGAGGCAGTCCCCTTTGCCCACAAATGGGGTCTGCAGAAATGCCCAGGCCGTGGGGAGGATAGGGTCCCACCCACACCTCCAAGACCTGTCAGCAGGGCCAAGAAGCAGAGAAACCAAGTACAAGATTCTTGTTGAGACATTTGCTTTGGGCTCGAATGCCGCAGCATGCAGCCGTCCCAGCCTGTCCCTTCGTCCTTCCTTTTTAATATCATTAATCACACAAATAAGACAGAGGACTTGCCCTGGGTTGTATCTGCTCCCGGGCTCCTCCCAGCCCTCCGGGGCCGGGAGTGGACCCAGCCTCCCCTTCAGCTGAAGGCATTGGAGCTGCAGGGAAAACCACCCACCCCAGGGGTCCCTGCCGCTCACCCTGCATGGTTTCACTTCTCCGGGCCTCCTTCGTCTCGGCAAGTGACCTCGGCCCTGCTTTCCACCCTATGGGAGGAAGTCCCAACAGGAAGGGCCTCCGCTGGCGGGACTCGGGGCCTCCGCATCCTGCGGGGCCACCGTGCCTCTCTACCCCTCCAGGCTCAGCTTGGCCCCTGGCCCCACACACCTCCACACCCACTCGGGCCTCTGCCTAACCCATCGCAGCAGTCCCGGAACCGGAACCCCGGGCTTGTTCTGCCTGCACCGATCTCATTCTTGTCTCCCCACCCCAAAATTGTCTGTGGCCCCCCATTGCCTCAACAGAAGGCCCCAGGATCCCAGCATGGCACCTAGAAAGCCTGTGATCTGGTCCCAAGACCATTTTAAGCAATCCCTGCCGTCTCCACTCTGGCCACCTCGCCAGAGCACACCCCCCACTCCATCACCTGGGCCCACGCTGACCCCTCGCCCATCACCCTCCCCTCACCCCACCTCCTGCCTCCCAACTTTCTCAGCTTCAGACCCACCCAAATGCCCCCGATTCTGAGTTCGGCCAGAACCCTCAGTTGCTGTCCCAGGGTCACCAGGCAAACGTCCAGCCTGCTCAGTCCTGTGTGCGCCCTCTGAGCTCCCCAGAGATAGACCTGCGTCTATAGCTCACATCCTGCTTGCTCTGTCCCTGCCTGGTGGGCTGAGCCTGTGTCTGGTGCGCCAGGGTCCTGGCCTCAGGGCTGCTGCATGTGACCCCATACAGCCCCCCACCCAGCCCGGTCTGGGCTTCCCTTGGCCCCACGACGTGGGCATTCCCAAGCTCTGGAACCAATGGAGGGACCCTCCCTGGGTCTCCACGCCCACAGGGTCATTCAGTCGGTCTTGAATGATTCAATGATGGAGAGAGAAAAGGGGGTTACGTCTTGATTGGATGTGCGAATGAATGAGTTAGGTGAATGTGGGTGAGAAGAGCAGGCGGGTGCCTCAGGGCCTCCAGGAAAGAGGTCGGAATATGCGAGGCCTGCACACAACCCCCAGTCCCAGAAGCACACGGCCCCCTATCTCCGGCCCACCCTGCCTGCCATGGCCTCCCTCAGCGTCCCACCCGAACCTCCAGGCCTTCCCGCAAAGGAGCGGCCCTCCCTGCGGCCCTCACCGCCCCGCTATGTGCACACGCCTGGGTGGGGGCTGGGCTGGGACCTCTGTGCGCCCCCCCACCCCGTTGGGACTTGGCTGGAACCCCTCCAAGGCTGAGAAGAGCAGGGCTGCCCTGCACAAGGGGATGGTCTGCAGGACATGGGGCCCTGTGGGCGTGCGGTGCTGGCCGGGGGCTGGGCAGCTGTGAGCTGCTGGCCACAGGTGCTTCCCAGGGTGCTGTCCGCCGGGGCCACCTCACCTGCGACGATGAACCAGTTCATGTAGTTGAGCAGGTTGACGTAGCAGAGGACTGCGGCGGCCGCATGAGCTCTCCCGCGGGACAGGCTCCAGGGGCCGGACGCCATCCGGGGGGCCCACGCACCTGCGCCTGAGGCTCCAGGCTGCCTGCCCGGCCTGGGCACCCAGCTCTCTGCCGACATGCCGCCAGCCGTGCCAGCCTGAGTTCCTGTCCCGGAGGTGTCGGGGCAGAGGCCCATGGGCTCTGCACCGAGTCACTTCCTGTGGGCTCCCGGCCTCCCGACCTCAGAGCAGCTGCCCTAACTGCTCAGCATCTTATCGCAGGTTCCTGCCGAGCCCGCCCCCGACTGGCCCCCAAGGTTTCACCAGCCCCAGCTCTGAGGCCCATGGGGGGGGCCCATCTGGGTGGCCGGACATGACGGTCCCCTCGACCTAGACTGTGGCTTTGGCGGCTGCAGTGAGGAAGAGAAGCTTCATGCGACAGGAAATGAGTTGAGTCTTCGGAGCCCTAGTCTCCAAAAGAGGTTCAAGGGCTGCCCGCTCAGGACCTGGGCGGCGAGCGCAGGACATGAGCTGGGCCGAACCGGGAAGGCTGGGTGCTGGCCGGGAGAGCGGCACCCAGCTGGGAGTGAGGCACCTGCTCTGCTCTGGGGCCCCACGGCGGGGAACAGAGGAGTGAGGAGTGGTGGAAGGGCTGTTGCCAGGAGCACAACGGATTCAAAATCCAGGGGGTGGGTTGGAAGAGGGGCTGGGTACGGCACAGTCTCCAAGGGTCTCTTTACAGGATGTTTATTGGGGCCGTAACCGTGCGGTAGAGGAACCAGGCAATGTCCAGACCAAAGATTAAAGGAACACCACCGCCAAGAGCAGAGGGCGTGTGCGTCTCCCCCCAGAGGCTCCGAGCTGGCCCCATGTCACCGAGGCAGGGTTCCCGTCAGCAATCCACCATCCTAATCTAATAAGGAAACGTCAGACACACCCAAATCGCGGGACACGGTATTGTTTTTACTAGACTATGTTCTAGGGAAGCTTTAGGACCAACCAAGATTGAGCAGCCGGCTGGTTCTCTCACTCACCCGCTGCCCCCTCACACCCATGGTCTCCCCCACTGTCAACACCCCCACCACAGGCACATTGTGATGACTGATGAGCCTACGCTCACATGTCATTGTAACCCAACGCCCATCACTTACATCAGGGTTTGGTCTTGATGGTGCACGTTCTGGGGGTTAGAATAGGGTCTGAGGTCTATCTGTCCTTAGAGTACCACGCAGGGAAGTTCCATTGCCCTAAAATTCCTCTGTGCACTGTCCACGTCCCTGCCCGCCCCTGGCAAGCACTCCTGTTGGACCGCCCCGTAGCTGTGTCTTCCAGGAAGCCGCAGGGTCAGAATCAACAGTAGGGAGCCCCTCCAGACTGCCTTGTTCACTCAGCAACACGCATTGACAGGGCTTCCGTGTCATGTCATGGCTTGGGGAGTCACTAATGTTTATGCTGCATAACCCGCCATTGTCTGGGTGGACCACGTTTTATTTATCCGTTCATCTGCTAGAGGACATGTTGGTGGACTGCATGTTCTGGTGGTTGTAAATAAAGCCATCCACACCATCTGTGTGCAGGTGCTTGCGTGCGCTCTGGGTTCCACTCCCTTGGGTCAATACCAAGGTTGCAACTGCTAGACTGCACGGTGCAGGTGTGGAACACGATCTTCTCAGAAGAGACTGTATTCACTGTTTAAGATTTATTTATTTCCTTGAGAAAGAGCGTGCACATGGGGGTGGGGAGGGGCAAAGGGAGGGAGAACCCCAAGCAGACTGCCCGCCGAGCAGGAAGCCCGACATGGGGCTCGATCCCACAACCCTGCAATCAGGACCAGAGTTGAAATCAAGAGTCGGACACTTAACCAACTAAACCATCCAGATGCCCCTTTAAGGAAGGGTATTATCCAAAATACCAAAGTCCTCAAGGACTCAGGAAGACCAAGGGCTTATTTAGATTAAAGGAGATGGAAGAGCTGTGATAAGTTAGTGCAACAGGGTGTCCAGACCGGGTTCTGCACTGGAGGGAATCGAGTGTTACTGGATCAGCTGACAAGACAGGAGACCCGGAAGACAGACGCCAGCATGGTCCTACTGAAATTGATGACGGTGACATGCCTTGTAGATGAAGACCTTATGCCGAAGTATATAAGGGTAACAACTGCGGTATATGCAACTGGCCCTCAAGTCATTCAGGGGAAAAAAGGTAGAGACCGCACAAGAGCCGATGGGGCAAGATGTGAAGAGGAGATGAGTTTGGGTAAAGTTGGCGTGGGTTTTCCGTACCATATTGTAATTTTTCTATAAGCCGGAGATTATTTCCCAATAAGCAAAGCACAAAATGATGAGCAACCCAATTAGGAACAGGCAGCAGACTTGGATAGATGTTTCTGCAAGGATGCACAAAGGGCCAACGTGCGTGTGAAGAGATGCTCACGGTCGCTCAGCCCTAAGGAAAGGCTAGTCAGCACCACAACGAAGATGGACGTCCTTTGAGCAGTTCCCAGGTGGGCTGTGCTTTGGGTCTGCAAGTGTTCTCACTGGAATAGTGTCATGGAAGATGCTTTGTCTCTTAAAAAAAAAAAAAAAAACAATGAGAAACCCACTCACACACACTAAGATGACTGGGAGTAAAATTTTTTTCATTAAAAAAAAATAACAAGTTTGGTGTGGATGTGTGGGTAAATTAAAACCCTCATACATTGCTGGTGGGAATGGAAAATGGTTCGGCCTCTGTGGAAAACACTGTAGTGGTTCTCCAAAAGGTCAAACTTAGAATTACCCCCACGACCAGCAATTCCGCTCCTAAGTGTATACACAGAAGGGTTGAAAACAGGGACTCGGGCAAGTACACGCCCATGATTGTCCACAGAAGCACTACTTGCCATTGCCCAAAGGCGGAAACGTCCCAAAAACCCACTAGCTGGTAAACAGGCAAAGTGGCCAGCCCTCTCGGGTCCCCTCCCTCTTCTGGAGTTTGTACTCTATCTTTCAATCAACTTCACTATCACTTGATAAACTTTGCTGCCTACCAAGAGCAAACAAACAAAAAAACAAGCAAACCAAATGCAGGTTGTGCATGCAACGAAATATTGTCCAGGCACAAAAAGGGATGGGGTCCTGATCCTCGCGGCTGCACACTGACCCTTGAAACACTATGCTAAGTGACAGAAATCACGCACCAGGGTCACACACTGTGTGATTCCATTTATGCAAAATATTCCGGATGGTTAAGGTCACAGACACAGAAAGCAGACTCGTGGTTGTCAGGGGCTGGGGAGGAGCAGGACATGCTAGGTGGGTTTGGGGTCTCGCCTGGGCCATGGGATGTGTCGGAACCGGACAGAGGTGGTGGTGTCACAACACTGAAAGGACCAAATGCCACTGGATCCGCTGGACCGTGTGCTCTGAAATGTTTAAAGTCTTAACATTATGTGAAGTTCACTGCGACTTTTTAAAAGGCGCTAAAGCAAGCCAAGAAAAAGCCGGTCTGGAGACACGTCAAGAACGTGAGCTTTGCAGGACGACCAGCCAGGGCTCAAGTTCCAACTTCGCTTCTTCCGAGCTGTGCCTAGAGCAAGGCCACAACCCCTGTGGGCCTCAGGGTCCTCACAGGGACAGTCATGCAATGAACCATCGAACCATCGGGGTCAAGTGCGTGGAGATTTCCCCGCTGGCCCAGTGTGGGGGCAGGGGGGACTCATAGGAGGCATCTGGGGAGGAGGAGGCTGGCCTTTACTACTGCGGGTCAGGGGCGCTCCCGCTGCCCAGGGGGTGGGGTGGTCTTGGCACAGCACGGGGAAGCTCAGAATCAGGCCCTGGAAGAAGAGCCAAGCAGCCCCAGGGCTGAGGGCCTGCCCACAGGGCTAGGTCACTGGGCGTCCCTCGGGTCCGCACAGCCCAGGCTGCTCACCCGCGATCCGGGTCCTGCCAGCACGCACCCCTGCTCCGGCGGCTGCGTGGTTGCTGTGCCATAGACAAGGTCATCCTTGAAAACTGCCCAGAACTCGGTCTGGTGTTGAGGAAGTGCTTGGGTGACCGTTCAGTAAAGTGGGACTCCCCTGGCTCAGGAGGCGGAGGCGTCGATTCCGGACCCACCCTCAGCTGCGGGACAGGCCGAGCTACAACCTCAGGTAGAGCGCGTGAGAACAGACCCAGCACGTGCACGCAGGTGCCCGCGTCCTGCCAACAACGCGAGAGCTTTGCACGTGACGTGCATGAGACAGAGCTGCTGGTGGTCACTGAGCTCCAGGGTCTGGCCCTCGCTCCGCCAGGCCAGAACACCAGCCCGCCCCAGGCTTCCCAGCTCCCAGGATGCGTCCCATCAGGCAGGCAGGGCTCAGCCGGTAGGGCAGAGGGCAGCCTCCGACCAAGGACATGGGATGTGTCCCCGGGGCAGGGAGGCTCTGGAGGAGGCTGTGCCCAGGGGCGTCGTGGCAGCAAAGCTGGAGGCCAGCAGGACGACACAGTCTCGGATGTTCGGGTACAGAGCCCAGGCACCCCCACTGCTTGGACAGCCCCCCAAGGTCCACTCGGCTTCCGGGTTGGTGTCCGTCTATCTGTCGGTGGGGCTGCACGCTCCCTGAGGGGTCCAGGGAGCAGACCTGCTCATTCCTCCAGGGATCACCAAGGAGATGGGGCCACCATCGGGCCTTGCATGCTGGAGCCAGGACACTGCAGTCCTGCTTCTCAGGAGCAGAAACAGGGAAGGGAAACGCTGTTTTCGACAGGCGGGAAAGACAGCCACCATCCCAGGAAGGGGCTGGATGGGCCCGTGCCGGCTGCCAAGCCCCCACGGCGTGGCTGTCCCCTCCTACCCACCGCAAGAGCCGGGGTATCTGGCCTGAGGCATCTGTGGGTTCTGCTAAGTAAGGTGTGACATGTTCAAAATCACTTTCCCTGAAAAGCCCATGGGCGTGCGCCCGAGCCTCAAGAGAAGGTCAGGCAAATGCCCACAGCAGCACCGGTCGCAGCAGCCAAAGGCCAGAAACAGCCCAAATGTCCATCAGCGAGCAAACGGGTCGGCAGGATGTGGCCCATCCGTACAGTGGGACAGGACTCAGCCCTACGAAGGAAAGGCCTTCTGACACCCGCCGCAGCACGGATACGGGACGTGCCCAGTGACACATGCCGGTCCCAGAGCGCAAGTTCTGTGTGGTTTCATGCAGCCAGACGTGTGGACAGACTGGACGGGCATGCTGGGGCCGAGGGGCCGGGGTGCCAGGGGTCAGTGTGGAACAGGGACAGAGCGTCCGTCTGGGGAGATGGGAGGTCCTGGAGACAAGCCGTGGTGCAGGCAGTACAAGGGGAATGGGCTTGTTGCCCCCGAA